ACCATTTGAAACAGTGAAGAGGTACGTTCAAACTGGAGACGGTGAACTGTCATGCCTATCTTCAAGAAGGGTCAGCATACTTTGTGCGAAAATCATAGAAACATCAGCCATATATCCATTGCATCCAAACTTCTCACGGGTATCATTGTCCGACGATTTACTGGTCCCCGTGAGAAAGTCAGCGTGGCTTCCGCCCTGGTCCTAGGTGTATCGATCAAATAGTTACACTTCTCCAAGTGTTAGAGCAGACACACATACATACGACCAACCAATGGTGGCTTTGCTTGATTTGAAACACTGCCTTCAACTCTGTGGATCGCACCAGCTTGTGGCACTGCTTGTCCAGGATGAGCGAGCAGGCAAAATTCCTTTCCGTGATTCCCGGGAAAGTATAAGGGTCTACGGGAAACTGTCTCCCGTTTCCCCAGGACAAGTGGGGTTCGCCAGGGTTGTCCTATATTACCTTTCCTCTTCAACTTAGTGATCATGAACCAATCGGTTCTTTCAGACTCTACTGGAGTGGAACTTTTGTCGGGTGACCGACTGACAAACCTGGAGTATGTAGACGACATAGCTCTTTTTGGGTCCGATACAGTGGCCAAGCAAACACTACTGGATAAACTGACACGTAGCACCACACGCTCCAGCATGTGCTTTACATCTTCAAGATGCAAAGTACTGCTGCAGATATGGACCGACAGACCTCCGGTTCTAGCTATCACCGAATAGCCACTGGAAGTGATGGATCGGTTCACTTACCTTGGTAGCTGTGTCACCTCTGGTGGCCACATCAATGAGTAAGTTACTTCGCGTATCAGAAACCATCAATGGAGACGGCGGGATATCAGCCTGTCAGTGAAAGGTCCGATGTATAACGCTGCCGTAAGGTCGGTCTTACTGTATGGATCAGAGACCTGGCCAGTTCGCGGCGAAGACAAACGCTTGGCCGTGTTTGACCACCGGTGCTTACGGAGTATTACCCACGTCTGGCGGAAACACCGAGTGAGCAATGGTGAGGTCCGCCGGTCGGTTTTTGGCAAGAAGCCTTCTGGTGCTTCACTCGAGTGTTTGCTGAATTTTAGGCGTTTACCTTGGTTAGCTCATGTCCTCCGTATGCACGCTGACCGGCTTCCTCGGCGTGCATTATACGCCGTGGATGCACCAAGTTGGGTGAAACCAAGAGGTGGCCAGTCCATGACGTGGCATGGAGAAATTGACTGAGAGCCTTTGTCAAGCGGGTGCGTACCATCTTCGTGGATGGGAGTCTCGGGATGATCCACATCAGTGGTTAGAGACCATACCAGACATGGCGCAGTTACGTAGTTAGTGACATTCCTGCATTCGGCTTCTTGCACCAGGTAGTTAATTTTCGTTCCATTCTGATACGTTTAATGCACTTCCTACCTGCTTCCATTTTCCGTTCATTATATTTGCATTCAATCCCACTATTTTGAAGTTGTTGTTTATTGCTGTTCCTGCGATGTGAGTCGTGGCAACTGGATCCACCGCACTTCGGTGCTCGGATCATAGCCGATCAACTGAACTGAACTGAAGTGAGACAGCTTAGATACATGACCCACAGTTGGAAAATTGGCCAGTGAGTGCACAGCAGTAAGGAACTAACTGTTCAAGTCATTTTCCATCTGTGAGAACAAAGGTGTTGCTATCCATATTCGAGACATCGTGGACAGACATCATAACTATGATGATTGACGTCGCTCCGATACCGAAATAGCGTTGTAACTTGACTGGATCAGAAAGTAACGCTTTCTCGCATAAAATACAGTAGGGAGTGTCAGTGGCAAAACGGTACATTAGTGTTGTGTGATGAGCCGGAATCAGGTACCAATGCCCCAGAAGTCAGCGGTATAGGCAAATTGAACGGTAACGGGTTAACAACAGAACCAATGTCCTAACACAAGAAGGACGATTGGAAGCCGCAGATGGATGTGCGATGGAAAGAAATGAGGAAGAAGCGCTCGACTAGACTACGAACAAGAGCATGCCACGCAAGCTTCTATGAAAATGTTCGCATATGAGTGGAAATGTTGTTGGATGTTGATTGCCATAGTGAATAATTCCGTCCGCACCTCTCTGGTCCTCACAACATGTTCGCAGTTACCAGGATTAGCCCACCAATGTCAACGATGAAAAGAATATCCAGGAATTAGAACACCATTTTGTTGGTATCATCTCAGTAGGAGTTGCTTGGGAAACATTGGTCATGAAATTAGTGCAAGGATAAGAAATAGAGATAATGACTTGTTTAGTTAAATGAAAACAAAAGGATGTATAAAAGGATGGTTTCTAACTGGAAATCACAGATAAGGTGAAGAAGGGTGATGCACATCAGCGGGGTTAGATGGAGACGAAATCATAATAATCATAACCGCAGACGACGACGACGACTAGCAATCCACTTCCGAAGAAATAATAACTTTCATTTTCCGCTCCAATGAGTCCAGTTCAGTCTCCATGCAGGATAAAAACGTTTGTTTAAATTCCAGACTACTGTGTGTGCTCAAGTTGCTGCCTTCTTGTCGAGAGATGGAATCATCTACAAGGATGTGAAAATAAACCATCAATGAAGAGGGATCTTGAATAACAAATGTTTCGGTGCATATGATCAGATTTATAATGAAAAGGAGCAAGAAAAGAGAAGAGTTGAGCGCACATAATGGAGAGGAAGCGTTAAACACTAGAACTTTTCAAGTTATTCAGGTAGTCAAAGCCGAAAAAAGTTGCGTATTCGACCCGAACAGCGTGTGAAAAAATGTCTCAGCGGCATGCCGTAACGGCGCTTCGCTGCCGTATGACGATCGCCAGTCGCACGCGGGCTGAGTATACCACGAAGACACCCACCCCTAGGCGGTTTCGGACCCGCGCCGCAAGAGTAAGAGACACGATCGTTACTAGGCTTTGGACCGATAATAGCGTGTGAAAGTAGGAGGGGATAACGTTCATCTATTGAACAAGGACACATGGAAGTTAGGTGCACTCATTCACACAAAATGACCCCGAGAAGTCGTAACACTAGCAAGAGGACACCAAATTAACTCCAGGACTTGAACATCGAGGTATGTGGATGCGTATATATATATATATATATATATATATATATATATATATATATATATATATATATATATATATATATATATATCTAAGATGTGCCCCATGCTGAGGCAGATGTTGCATTCATGATGCTTCTTCCCCACAGTTGGGCTAAAACAGCTTACACTTAAACTGGGTCTTTTTAATGTAGAAAAATTCGTTACACTTTATTTCCTTTGTTCTGGGTATTTGATAATCTTCTCCTAACTGGCACACACCACTCATGTAAACTGTGGTAACCTTGCGTAACTTTAACACGTAGTAATTTTTAAATAACTTTCGGACATTTTGTACTTATCGCGGATTCCCTTATACCCAATTTACTGCAAACGCTCACATAGCGAGTATTTATGTCGTCATATACGCTGACTTTATTCGATATCGGTATTTCGAATGATTGGCTGTTGTTTGACATCCCATGTGTGGCCGCGCTTGATGTGCATGTTGACAAGGTGCCTACCTGTCTTTTACCCACTACCTCGTCCATACTGGCTCCAGGAGACAGTTGGTCATTGCTGGAGGGGACGCGGTGCACGGTCCTTGTGGTCGTGTTAGCCTCGAAGAGTGGTTCCACGCACTCAGTGTGGAGTGGACTACGGTGCAGCCACCACATTATGTGAGTTTGATTCCCAACTACAGCGTGCTTGTGTTTGCCTCTGAAGGAGTGTGGGCCGGCTCCGCTGATGAAACGTGGTTCCCATCCGCATGCCTCCCGGTCTTATTCCTTCGGGTTTACACTGGTTATGGGATGTGTGGATGGAGCTGTGGGTGGTGCAGCGCAAGCCATCCATGGTCCCTATGTAGGCGCAGGCGTCCTGTGGCTGGCCACAATGACAAGCAAATCCGAAACCGGATGTCGCCAACCATATACATGAGGCGTGGACAGCGAAAACAGGAAACAAAGTCGGGTGGAGAACCAAAAAGGAAATCGACTGACGGGATTCTGAAAGGGAATTCTATGTCAACCCGCAGAGTCCTGCTCAGTTGGTTAGATATGATCGATGCCTCAACTGGAAGTAGAGAGCTTTGCCTTAATAAGCGTCGTTATAGTAATAATGATAATAATAATAATGATAGAAAATATGGAAGGAGAGAAAAAGTAAGTGGATAGATGGGGGACAGGTGATGTGCGATACTATCGCTGGATGACAGTCAATGGCTAGATGTGGAAAGGGTGGATGGGGCCGTGAAGTAAGGGAGGTCAATATCGTTAAACTTGATCAACCAAGTATGACTAGACATTTGGCTTAGCCAAACCAGTTACAAAAGCTAGTATCGACATAAAAAGTATATAAGGCGTTGAAGTGACTTGATGAGAGGAGATCGAGAGAAAACGGTTCAAAAGGAAGCGTTTCTCAATGAGTTGCCATTCAGAGGTAACAATTTCATGAAAGTTACAGGCGCATCAATGAAAGAGGTTGACAATGAAGCAAAGCTACACCTGATTATGTCCATAAGGCCATTGATTAAGTGTTCAGCGACGAAATCGGTGCCGAAGCTGTGCACACCAAATGGCTTATAAAAATGCACATGTAGCTGTGGACACAGCTAAGCTGGACGCACTGATGCACACCTATGTGTACGAATCAATGAACACGCTCGAAAGTGGCTCCGTAAACGGATGGAACACGCGACGGTTTCATCAGGTGAATCGCGAAGCAAGACCGTTTCAGCAATTACGAGTCGTTTGATGCACACCAGTCGCCAAATACATCTTCAGGTACCATTCACTCCTTATGCGCAGTCAAAGGCCTCACATACTCGAAGCCATTGTTGTCGATCTACAGTGCCCATGACTCTGTGTTCAAGAACAGTGACACTAAACCGACCGTGGTAGCGGATGGTGCACCAATCGATTTCAGGTGCGCTTGTTTTGAATTCTTTGTTAGTTTCATGTATGTGGCCGACGTGTATGCACGAAACGGTAGCGTTATCCCGCAATCTACGTTTCCTAATGTTCTTAATTGAAATTATAAGGGGAATATCAGAGTTCAACATACACTTTTCAACAGTATACAAATAGATACGGAGCCAGGAGAAACTATGGAAAGCAATCGTCAATATCATCAATGGATGTTAGCTGAAGGTGTGAGATACAACTGAACTAATGTGCCCTAATAGATAATAAACACTAGCGAGTAAAACAAGTAAAAGAAAATGAATATATAGAGCCAAATATGTATCGGATATGGGGTTGTGGTTGGAGGAAAGCTAGAGATGAGAGCAAAAAACTCGCAACACAAAGTCATTGAGGTCGGTCCTTTGCCATGTCAACAAGTGTATCCAACCAAAAGCTTTTATCGACCCTCGGACCCCAGCCCGGCAGTACGCAGGCACCAACCGACGCCAAATTCAAAGTGAGGGTCTTCATTTCTTTTGATCCAGTCATTGCTTGGTATCCCATCCTCTTCTGCCATCCCCACCTCCGGTGTGCACACAACGTAGGTCGAGCGAGTCGATGGGTTAACATGCGCAGCCATCGGAACCTGGTACTGAGCGGTTTACTCACACTTCCAGCACCAAATACAAGATGAGAAATACGCTCACTGTTCACGCGGTCTTCCTGCCAGATGTGAGCAAAGCTGAGAAAGTAGCTATGGTTGAACGTAGCAGGTCTCTTTATGTCTGCCGATCAAATAGGCCACGTTTCACACCTTTCACGTTTCACACACAGGTGCATTGTACACTCGGCCCCTCAGGATGAGAGTGATGCCGCGTGGCGTCACCAGTGGCGGAGATTGACAAAAGCGCCTCGAGTTACTGCTATGCGATTCGCGACCACATCTATTATACAGGCGCTAATACAACTGCCTAAGTAGTTCAATTTCTGAACGGCTTTTAGCTGATCATAATCAAAGGTAAGCGCAGAAATAGGCCCACCTCGATCTTTGAGAATGACTTTGCATTTTGATGGTGCAAAGCATAGCCTAAAACGATGGGCAATCACTGCAGTCTGTCCAGTGCTGCTTGGCACATTTGGGAGCTGTCACAGATAAGGGTTTTGTTGTCGGAATGATCCAAGCAGCTCCACGCCTTGTAGGTCGTGTCCAGTGAACGCACTTTCCATGAATTCGTCATTGGCGAAATTAAAGAATGGTGACAGCGGGCAACGTTGTCTTACGTTGCTGAAGATATTGAAGGGCTGCGACATCTTGCAATATATCTTCACTCTGACCAAACTATGCGTGTACAGGGTTCTCATGAGGTTTACATATTTATCGGGCACAACTTTCCTGAGTAGAGAGTACCAAACGGCCCATCCATCCACCGAATCGAAGGCAGCTTTGATGTCAAGAAACACGGCCACGGTGGATTGTCAATAAATATGGTGATGATGTTCCAACAACTGACGTAGAGTGAAGATGTGGTCAATGCATCCTCGATTTCGATGAGACCCGGCTTACTGCTCGCGAATATGGCTTTCACGGGTGGCAGTCAGTCTTTGGAGAACGACAGAAGCAATTAAGAGCAGCCTCATTCAAGTCTGTTAGGATAATCTTCTGTTTCCACATCTTAACTAGTAAGTTGTGCAAATCATTCACGAGAGTTGCGCCCCAAATGTGAAAAGGGCCGGAGAAACTCCATCCTCTCCTGTGGCATTACTCAATTTCATCAGTCTAATCTCACATTTGAGATTGCGCGTGAGGGCGGATCTAAGTGGACTGCTCAGGGAGAATAGAAACTAATGCCAGAAAAGGAGGACGAAAACTCAGATTGATAAAATTGCATTTCGAAGTGTTCAACCAAACGCTCCAAGTGTTTTGAGAGTCTGTGGATTGGCTATCCACTCATCGCGTATGATCTCTCTAACACCAGATCTCCTGCTGCTACTTTCCAGTATCAGACGGAATAACTTCCGATGATTACCAACGGCAACGGCTGTTTCCATCTCCGATGAAATATGAGACCAATAGGCTTCATAGTCTGTATTCAGGACAAAAGGCAGCTTTTGCCTTGAGATCTTCGTGAGTTTCATTGTGTTCACTTCCAGCCGGAATACGTCGGCGACCATCCAGAAGTTCCGGAGAATGCCCAGAGACAGAATGACCACATTGTCAATCTGATTGGCCTGCTGAAAGTAAGGTCTAGTGAGTATTGGACCAGTGACCTTTAACTGTGTTCGCTCGGGTGCCGGCGTAGTTGATCGGCACTCTAACCATCTGGTTTCGTCAATCTGTAGGTATGTATGCGCTCGCAGTGTCGTTGCGAACATCCGCCGAAACGCACCCGCAGATCGGCACATACAAGAGCGTGATCAGAGTCAAGGCTCGTGCTCCAAATCGAGCGACAGTTTTGGACACAGCCTCTCCATTCTTGTTCAACTTCGCCATGGACGAGATCCTGAGTAATGCCTTGAATAACTCCGAGTCCTGTGGTGTTGAACTGCTCTCTGGTGACCGCCTTCGGGACTTAGAGTACGCCGATGATATCGCTGACTTGCGAGTCCTCCCAAGCCTCCTATCATGTGCTGCTGAGATTGGAGACGTTCGCCGCCCAATTTGTGTTGAGCTTTGCCCATTGCAAATGCAATGTCCTATTACAAAGTTGGCCAAGCGCATGTCCTTATCTCATCCTTTCGGGGCATCCGGGAGTTGTCTTAGTATTGGCGGATTGACAGATGAGATTTCTCTACGTGTCTCCAAGGTTAGAGTCGCTTTCACTAACCTTCGTCATCTGTGGCTTCGTCGTGATCTCAGCCTCGCTCTCAAGGGACGAGTCTATAACGCTACGGTACGAGCGATTCTGCTGTACGGCTGTGAGACTTGGCCCGTTCGCAAAAGCGATGTTCAGCGGCTATCAGTCTTCGATCACCGCTGCCTGCGAACCATTGCTGGTGTTTGATGGCAGCACCACATCAGTAATGAGGAAATCCGTCGGCGAGTCTTCAGGTCTAACGAACTCCGCCGATCGATTGATAGCATTATCTCACTGCGGAGGCTTCGCTGGTTTGGCCATGTGCTTCGCATGCCTACCCAGCGGCTACCAAGACGAGTCCTATTCGCGAGCACAGGTGTGGCTTGGAAGCCAAGAAAAGCAGGGCAATGTAAAACTTGGATCCAATGTGTTAAGGAGCAAACGATAAAACTGGCTGTTGTCGGGCGTTCCCGACTCCCGGGTTAGGGACCAAAGGACCCCAAGCACACCTGGTTGCAAACGCTGGTGGATATGGCCAAGGACCGTACGCAATGGCGCACTTGATGTGAGACTCCTCTACCTTAATAGTTGTCTTCCCTTTCATGTTATCTTTATGTTCTTGTGTTGTGGCGCTCAGCCAATTATATTGCAAGTGGTATAGCGTTGAATATATATACACTGGATATGGGGGGTGTGGTTGGAGCTGTGGGTGGTACAGCGCAAGCCACCTATGGTTCCTGCGGCTTGCCACAGTGACAGGCAAATCCGAAACCGGATGCCGCCAACCATATATATATATATATATATATATATATATATATATATATATATATATATATATATATATATATATATGTATATGTTTGATTGAATGTCTACACAGTGGTATGCGAGCGAGAGTGCAGCTGAGTGGAGAGACCTCGGATGACTTTGCAGTTGTCTACGGTGTGACGCAAGGCTGTGTGTTAGCTCCTGCCCTATTTAATATTTATCTTCATGCAATGATGTCTTGTGCTTTTGATGCCGCTTGTGCTTACGGTGTCCGTGTGGAGCACCGTATTGATGGTGGGTTGCTGAACATCCGTCGTTTCGGTACGAGAACTCTAGTCTGTGAGACAACTATCCGTAAGTTGCAGTTTGCTGATGACTGTGCGTTGTTTGCACACAGTGCGGATGAGTTGCAACACATGACTAGTCTCTGGCTTCGACAGCGGCCAAATTCGGGCTCACCATCAACACAAGCAAAACTGTCTGTCTCTCTCAGCCTTCACCGGAGGTGCAATCTCAATATTGCCGCGAATCAGCATTGGTGCCGAAGTATTGGAAACCACCTCCCGCTTCTGCTACCTTGGGAGTGTGATGTCGACTGATCAGCAGCTACACAGTGAGCTGCGTATCCGTGTGTCGAAGGCAGCGGCGGCATTCGGGAATCTTGAGTACCGAGTGTGGAACAACTATCAGCTTGCCATTGGCACGAAGCTGATGGTGTACAAATCCATGGTGCTGTCCGTTCTTCTATACGGCAGTGAAAAATGGACGATGTATCGGCAGGATGTGCAATATCTCGAGCGGTTCCATCGGCAGTGTTTGCGACAGATTTTACGCATCGGTTGCTACGACACAGTTGCGGACACGGAAGTGTTGCGACAAAGTGGAATGCATACAGTGGACTGCATACTTTTGCTGAGACACCTGAGGTGGCTCGGTCATGTGAATCATATGGATTCGGCGCGGATACCGAAACAACTATTATATGGTCAGCTGAGTACTGGGAAGCGAAATATGGGGAAACCAAAGTTACATTACCAGGACATGTTCAAAGTGAGCCTCTCACGTTCTACTTTTGACTGCAGGTCATGGGAATCGAAGGCGATTGATCGGCGTGCATAGCGCGATCTAATCACGAAGGCAGTTGCTGAAGTGCGGGAGAAAGACCTCATACAAGCAGAGAATAATCGGCAATTGCGAAAGCGACAAGCACCGATGGGTTGTACTCCATCGACATCAAGTGCATGGTGCTGTAGCACATGTGGTCGCGAGTGCCTGAGTCAGGCAGGCCAAGTGAGCAATGAGCGAAGCCACTCGGGGCCACTACCGAAGCGACGAAGGGTCCTGCAGAGAACGTAGGCAGAATCGGCGCAGGGTTTGTAGGCACGCTGCATTTGATTTACTAACCGCGTGCTTGCATGCCAAGTCTATTTATTTCAGGTGGTTGGTTTTCAATTTTGTCCTAATGGTTGTCCTTCTCATATAAATGTATACCTGCACCCTCTTCTATAAACTTGCACACCTCGCTTAAGCCAATTGTAGTTAATTTCGATAACATGTTCGTGCCTATGTCATTCCCGTAAAATATACTTTCTGAACTCGTGAACTTATCTCGTATCCTTTGTTAACAACTTATTTCATATGCTCATTAATTTATGATTTTTGTCACCGTTTCCTTATGCATCACGCGATTTATTTTCTTTGTTATCTTTCACTCAAGTGATTGGCTGTTGCTTGATATCCCTGGTGTGGCTGCGCTTGATGTGCATGTTGACAAGGTGCCTACCTGTCTATTACCCACTACCTCGTTCATATTGGCTCCAGGAGACAGTTGGTCGTTGCTCGAGGGGACGGGGTGCATAGTCCTTGTGGCCGTGTTAGGATCAAAGAGTGGTTCCATGCACTCAGTGTGGAGCGAACTATGGTCCAGAAACCGCCTAGTGTACACTTGATTCCCAAATACAGCGTGCTTGTGTTTGCTTGTGAAGGAGTATGGGTCAGCTCCGTTGGTGAAACGTGGCTCCCATCCACACGCCTTCCGGTCTTATTCCTTCGGGTTTACACTGGATATGGGGTATGTGGATGGAGCTGTGTGTGGTGCAGCGCAAGCCACCCATGGGTCCTCTGTAGGTGCAGGCGTCCTGTGGCTGACCACAGTGACAGGCAAATCCGAAACCGGATGTCGCCAGCCATATATATATGAGTTCCCCACCCACCGTGCTTCGAACGGACAGTAGTAAATATTTGGAACAGTTTAGCTGAACGTGATGGAAGCAACATCTGTGCAGCAGTCCAAAACGTTGGATTCATATTTTACCACTATTCGATTCAGTGAACGATTGCACAATTACGAGGATATCTCATGTTTGTGAGTCGTGCAATACCGTGAGTCAGAGATTCCAAATGTTACATGAGAACGATAACAATATTCACGGCTGACAATTCTTATAACGTTTTTCACCATATTTTGAAGAAATTGTGAAAAATTCATTTCTACGTGCTCCTCAATCATTATTCAGTATTCATGACCCACGGGATATAAATCGTAAGGAAGCAAATGAGAATGTCTGTGAAATGGTGGAAAATGGCAATGTAAGCTCTAAAAGAAGTTTTCTACTAAGGTGTCTTAATTCAATCTTGCATAAACCCCCAACCATCGATAGTACTGCATGCGTGAGCACGCTGTGCATGCAGATATGTTCCGCACTTTTTAAGGCCAGGTTCCTCTGTACCACGAGGAATAATGCTAGATGGTTTTTTTACAATGACAATATGCAATGCAGTGCTGTTGGCAAAATTGTTACGGCAGTAAAAGACCTCACGTACCACAACTAAAGGCAGATAATTCTCTTTCCAGATTAGTGATTTCACGCTCCAAATGTTGCAACTTCTTCAAAAGACTGTCAGTGCGAGAGCCGATGTCCATCGGTTTTGCGAGGTTCACTCTCGGAGACTTGTAGACAAGAGAAATAAAAAAATTAAAAATTATGTTTTCAATACTAGTATAAAAATTGCGTGCCAAGGATGTGACCACTCAGAAGTCTTAACAACGCATTAGTTAACTCAAAAACCGGATGCCGTGTCATATTGGTGTACTATGTGTTGAACTATTTTGCAACGACATTAAGCCAGGTGCCAGGAATGCGAAAAGCATTGAAGACGTTCACAACGGACCAGTCAGTGGTGCGCACCCTCGAGATTCTACTAAGATTTCGAAAAGTTTACCGCTTCCAACACCAGCACTTACACTGATGTCGGTTGGTATGGTTTGCGGCATCCAATTCCGGATGTGCCTGTCACTGCGGTCTCCATAGGACGCCTGCGCATACAAAGGGACCATGGGTGGCTTGCGCTGCGCCATCCACACAGCCCATATCCAGTGTAAACCCGAAGGAATAAGGCCGGGAGGCATATGTATGGGAGTCATATTTCATCAACAGAACCGGCATAGACTACTGTAACAAGCACAGTAGCATTCCAATCTGTTTAACTGGGTTGATACCCCCACCATAAGTATCGTAAGGATGAGAAATGATAAATGGGACCTCATGTGAGACCGAAATGTACCAAGCAAACATTGCAAGTAAAGGTATCAACACGTTGTAATACACAGCTGACTACCGTAGGAAGATGCGTCACTGGGTTAAACACACGTAGGCTTGAGACTCAGACACCTTGGTAGCACACTGACTGAAAGAGTCGATCCGGTTACAAGACGAAAAAGAACAGCTCCATCTCATCATCATCACACGTTAGTTAAAGGAGAGAAACGCAGTTCAGCCAACGTGCCACAATACAAGGAGATGGAGTTTATGAAAAAGCGAGATACAGAACATTGCAAAAACCTAAAAGTAATATGATGCTCAGTAGCATATTACGTACAAAGTGTGAGATGGTTGGAGGTGAAATCGTGAGGAGGTGGGCTAAAGAAACTCACGATACAGAGGCCACTAGGGCCGGTTTATCATCATGTTAACAGGCGTAGCCAATCAAACGTGTTCCTCGTCCTTAGGACCCCAACTCGAGGTTAGTGCACCCATGCCAGGAAGATAAAACGAGTCAACTGCAAGCAACGCAGTGCAAAATGAGTTTAGCTCTCGTTGGAAAGTAAATGATTGCTCCCAAGGGGCTTTATGCCACGTTACAGTAGACAAACAAAGTATCTCATCACAGGTATACGTGGGCACATGTAACCCGTGACAATGCCAACGTGAACAATTTAGCTAGTAAACAGCTAAAAAAATGCTACTAAATAGATTATCGACACCCAGTATTCACCTGCGTATCTCAATGTAAAAGATAATCTGGTGCCAACAGACACCGGTAATACTCAGCAGGCAGCGATAGTCAAAGACGGAAGCGTCTCAGTTCATCAAACCGAGAGAATCATGTATCACTGCCGTACAGTGGAACGAGGTTTACTGTGGTCATGTGGACAGGGTATGCAAGACTAATTTCGATGCCACGCGTACCGCACGTTCATGGCGGATTTAGCTTTCGCAGAAGATAGAGCGAATTCAGTATTCACCTATCCATCAATGCAGTGTGCTAATTGCGACCAGAAACATCCATTGGGTCCATTTAGACTGGCAGTTAGGTGATGGGGAGGATGGGGAGTACGTCAATATGATCGTAAAACGGCAGATCGTGCCGCAAAGGTACAAGGCACACAAGATCCTGCAGCACTTTGCAGTTGCTACAGTCAAAAGAGGTCCTGCAGCCCGCACAGCACGATTTTACGCAAAACCGCTCATGCATTACAAACTTGCTTGTGACGACGCATGAGTGGTTGAAGGCATTAAGCAAGGAGAAGTCTGACGACGTGATATTCATCGATTTCAGTAAAGCGTTCGACAAGGTCAGCCATAAGGTTCTCCTTCACAAACTCAGGATGTGCCGTGTCAATGGTGGACGAAAGTGGAGGGTACAAGTCGATAACCATCTAACTGACTGGTATCCCTCTACAAGTGGCGTACCTCAAGGCACTGTGCTGGGGCCCACTCTGTTCCTGTCCACATCAACAACCTACCTCAACTTCTCCGGTCACCGTGGGCCTTCATTGCTGACGACATGAAGATTTGGAGAGAAATCGACACTCCCGACGATTGTGGTGCACTTCAGAAAGATCTCAACCGTCTATCCACATGGTCTGCAGCAGTTCATCGCCCGGTCAACCCAGCCAAGTCTGTATTTATGAGCCTGGGGGAAGGGTGCTGACGGCCGAACCTACACCCTTGACTGCCAACCGCTATATACCACATGCTCCGTGAAGGACCTAGGTGTATTCTCGATTTGAAGTCCGTAGACAATAAAAAAGGCTATACCGTAACGGACTGCGCATTCTTTAGGCGCTCAAACGTAGCTTCGGCACATGGTCTGAAGAGGTTGCCACCCGCCTCTTCTCTTTTATCATTAGACCAATGCTAGAGTACGGTTCGCCCGCCTACTTTCCGGTTAACCGAGACGAAGCACCGATCGAGCGGGTTCAACACGTCGCTACTAGACTCATCCCGAGTTTACGTGGCTTGGGGTATGAAGACCGGTACGAGAGACTAGCACTCTACATCTTGTAATACCGTCGCGTACGAGTCGAGCTCATTATGACCTACGGTGTTCTACAACTCGGTGAGTTACCCATGCTGAGGCCAATGCTGTACTTACGAGGGCCATGCAGCACACGCGGACACAGATACAAACTTGTAGTGCCGGATGTGAAACGTATTCCCCACCCAGTGTGCTTCGAACCGAGTGGTAAATATTTGGAACATGCGATGGAAGCAACATCTGTGCAGCAGTTCAAAATGTTAGGTTGATATTTTACCACCATTCGAATCGGAGAACGATTGCACACTTACGATGACATCTCATATTTGTGAGTCCTGCAATACCGTGAGTCAGATATTTTAATGTTACGTGAGAAGGATAACGATATTCACGGCTGGCAACTTTTATAACGTTTTTAACCATATTTCCAGTTGTATAGAATTGCTTTCTACTTGCTCTATAGTACAGTATTCAACCGATTTAGAAATGCTTGCACATCAGCTGTCCAAAACTGGAAAGTTATATCATATGTGTACAATGCGCTAAGTCGAGCACACCGAAACATCGGCCGAAAGGAAAATCGATAGTAGTTTCGAACAAAAGTTGAAGGTATAGAAGAAGGAAGCAAAGCCGATACTTACTAGTACTCAAATAGCAACTCGTAGATTCCCGGACGTGTAAAATGCTATATAGTTTCATCTTGTATCTAGACAACGTAGAAAGCTCGTCTATTGGAACGAAGTCAACCAAACGAATCGCACTTCGTGCGCATCGTTTGTGTTGGCTACCATACTTCGTCCCATAGATAGAAGCCTTTTACGATATCTTTTAGCTAGCGGGACTTTACGTTTCGACAATACACGCATAGATGAGTTTATAGCGACCGATCGATTCCGCTATACTCTTAGCGAACTCAGGGCATGGTCACTTACAGAAGATGGGCTACGAAGGGAAAGACGATTTCTCTACTGGATGTTTCAAGACAACAAATGTGCAAGAAGCTCAAGATCAACGACACAAGAACTGACTCAGTGAAAAAAGCAGTACACATGATAAGACCGATGGATGTCGGATATTGATAACAAACAGAAAGTTAAAGGGTATGTCTAAGGCACAGCTGAAACTAATCACACGTTGATAGGGGTAACCAGACTCACTGTTTCGTGCACATCAGTACAAACGCTGGATTCGTTCGGAGCATTTACCATCAATAATGGGATAAAATGGAGGTATAAAAGCTGGTTGGCTCTAAAATATAGTAGAGGAAAAGAAGACGACCACATAAACGAGACAGGCTTATCAAATGAGCACCAATGTATTGAATCCCCAGCTGACAAAACTGTTATACTGTCCAGCATAACATGGTTTGTCTGAGAGATGTCTTCAAGGTACTTGCAACGTAACAGATGCAATCCATACAGTCTGGTGGGGAATTACACAGGACGATTCTAGAAGCAAGAGTAACAAGAGTAGGTTGGCTAGAAAGAAAAAACCCATCGATCTGACGTCTGCAGACAACACTCGCATATCCGAGGAAGAACAGTTGAGTCGAAGATCAAAGATCGAGAAAGAGTGGAGAATGTATAGCACACCAAAGTAAGCGTAACAATAAATATTTGACTGGTCTCCCAGAGCAGTTTTGCGCTCAACACCAGTGATATATATATGGTTGGCGGCATCCGGTTTCGGATTTGCCTGTCACTGTGGCCAGCCACAGGACGTCTGCACCTACAGAGGGACCATGGGTGGCTTGCGCTGCACCACCCACAGCTCCATCCACACACCCCATATCCAGTGTAAACAAGAAGGAATAAGACCAAGAGGCATGCGGATGGGAGCCACGTTTCATCAACGGAGCCGGCCCACACTCATTCACAGACAAACACAAGCACGCTGTATTTGGGAATCAAGCGCACACTAGGCGGTGGCTTAACCGTAGTCCGCTCCACACTGCTTGCATGGAACCACTCTTTGATCCTAACACGACCACAAGGACCGTGCACCCCGTCCTCTCCAGCAAAGACAAACGGTCTCCTGGAGCCAGTATGGACGAGGTAGTGGGTAAAAGACAGGTAGGCACCTTATCAATATGCACACCAAGCACAGCCACACCGGTGATGTCAAGCAACAGTCAATCACTTGAAACGACCAAATCAAGTAAAATAAATCGAATAATGCATACAGATACGGTGACATAACTCCGCAATAAATGAGCATATGAAATAAATTGATTACGAAAAAATCCGCGAGAGGTTCAAGACGTCAGAAAATATATTTTAAGAAAATGACAAAAACGCGAAAATGTTATCAGAGTTAACGAAAACAGTTTTAGGGAGATGTGCAAATTTATAGAAAGTTCAGGTAGACATTAAAAGGAGATAAAATAGCATTAGGAAAATACAGTAAGACCACAACCCGAAATAAAGATACTTAACATGCAAGTACGCGGTTAGGAAATCGAATGCAGCGTACCTACAAAAGCTGCGCCGGTTCTGCCTATGTTCACCACAGGACTCGTCGTCGTTTCGGGGTTGGCTCACTAGGCCTGCCTGACTCAGGCACTCGCGAACGCATGCGCTACAGTACCATGTGCTCGATACCGATGGAATACAACCCATCGGGGACTGTCGCTTCCGCCGATTCTCTGCATTCAGGAGGGCTTTCACATGCACATCGGCAACGACCTTCGTGATCAGATCGCGCCATGCACGCCGATCAACCGCTTTCAATTTCCATGACCTGCAATCAAAAATAGAACGTGAGAGGCTTACTTGGATCATGTCCTGGTAAGGAAGTTTCGGTTTCCCCACATTCCGCTTCCCAACACTCAGCTGACCATATAACAGCTGCGTCGGTATTCCCGTCGAATCCATACGCCACCTCAGGTGTTTCAGCAAAAGTATGCAGTCCACCGTATACATTCCACTTCGGCGCAACAATTCGGTGTGCGCAACTCTGTCGCACCAACCAATGCGCAGAATCCGTCGCAGACACTTGGAGAGATTTATAAGTAAATGCCACAAAGTGTACCAATCCCAGAGCTTACCAAGCGCAAGCATGCAAAAAGTGGGAGTCATTCGGGATACCGACCGATTCCCGGAGCTTAAGGTCGACAGCAAAAACAGGAGAAATGACACCTAAGCTCCTCAGGCAATACAATATGAACAACAGTGAACCGAGGACGGATCCCCGAGAATTGTACAGAACGGAAGCTCTAGCCAAGCAGAAAGCACCCACCACCCCTTGGTCTAGAAATGCAGTGATCCACCAAAGTGCACGCACGGAGATAGCATAGTAGCAAAAACAACACAAAAAGCTCAGCCAACGTAGAAAAGCGTCAGTCTGTAGAACGATTGATTGTAGGTCTTCCAAGTGTCCGAAACTAGCCGTACGGCTAGATGGAAACGCAAACAGACAGCAACGATAAAGATCACCAGACACCAAATATCAAGGCAAAACAATCATGATGAAAACATGCACAGTGATCAGAAGCGAGAAAGCGGAACGAACATCGAAGGATAATGTATCGGTTCAACTAGACTGTACAATAAATGGTGGAAGGTGAAATAGGAAAGCACACTTGAAAATGTGCAAGCTCACAAGCGCTACAGAACTTCCCCCCAGAGCGTGAGTCAAGACAATGAATGCTTGACGCGTGCCATTTGACGTGAGTAGTTAGGTTACAAGGAAGAATAACTGCATGTCCGAAACGTGTACGATTTTGTGTATTGAGTTTGTGACAACAGAGGGTTAGGAAGGAGGAGAACTGGAGTCACATTGTTTGGGTGGGTGCAGTGCTCTGCGGCGGAGTTCGTTCAGCGTCAGAACTATCTGGAGTCTTTCGCGGCGACTAGAATTTGACGTAGACTGGCTTTAGGCGATCAATACTGACAGAATCTTTGGAAACATTTCGGTCCATTACGAAATATTTCTCTTTGCGGGCAATGACTGAAAGGGCCTTCCTAAGGCGGTGTCAAAGGTTTGCAAACCGTATTCACGCGCATGAAAAGGAAGGGACATATTATGTTCAAGTCGCGGTGGACGTGTTGACTTCGGGAGGGGAATCGCGGTGGCGTTGGACGAATGGCATTAAAGTATTGCTTCAGTCATGCAATCTATGACGTAGGATCGACTTCCTCAGTATTAATTCCTCAGAAGGCCTGAGTACCGTCCCAAAAACAAATACTGCAGGGGAACAACCGATATAATCGTGTACAGTGTTGCGGATACCGAGGAGAATGATCGATAAAAGCTCCGACGACTGGATACGCGACTGCGTCGCAATATGTGCAGTCTTGAATTACGGTGAAAACGCTCGAGTAAACCGTCAGCAGCCGGACACTATGCTGTCGCACGTAGATGAAAACAGCGGAGCACGCGGTTAAGGTCGCGAAACGACAGAATGAAACTACAGTCCTCTATCCGTGGTGACATTGGCTGGGGTGCCGAACACGGATATCTAAGTTTCGTTGAAAGTCCGTGTCGCAGTTTTCGCTGAGACATCTCGTAGCAGTACGGCGTATGACCAACGTTTGAAACAATCGACACATGTCCACATGTAGGTAAAACCGTTCGATGGCGACCGACGTCTAACGATGTCGATACGGACATGTTTGAATCTAGTATCGTGCAGCGGAAAGTTTCCAGAAACAGTCATCGTGTCGCGATGGATCTTGCTATTCTGGCAAGTAATATAGTGTTTCACGCACCGCTGAGTGTCACAGCGCATGCCGGGCCAGACATAGCGATCAATGATCAGCTTGATAGTGGTGCGGATACTCACATGATAGATTCCATGCAAGTGGTCGAAAACAACTCACCGACACTGTTGCGGAAGGAATGGTCGAGGTTTTCCGGTTGATTTCTCATAGTAAATTCTAGAGTTCGTGTTGAGAACAGGCAGTTGAAAAAGTGTAATCGTGTGATTTGACTTCAACTGCTCAAACTCAGGATCTCTTTCTTGATGGGCATCAATGCCTTCTAGGTTGATTGCTTGTTGTGAAACCTTGTGAAGACCAATGCGAGACATAGCGTCGGATGCAACATTGTGAGCTACATCATTGTGTCGAATATCGGTGGTAAACTGTGCCATATACTGCAAATGTCGAGTTTCCCGAGGTGATAAGCGATCGGAGGAAGCCAGAAAATCAAAAGCGACTGGTTTATGCTCTGTGAGGATGGCGAATGCACCTCCTTCAAGCACAGAAAGTGATTAACGGTGGGATAAAAGATTAAGAGTTCTCGGCTGAAAGTGTTGTATCGCGTCACAGGTAGTGGTATCGGGATTAATTCATGTTGACCGTGTTTGACAAACAAAGGTTTGAGATGCATCGGTTTTGAGAATTAAGGTTGTGTCGACATCGGTTCTCAAGGTCAGTAGTGTTGGAAAGTGCGTGTCTGATCTTATCGAAGACTGCCGTGGTTTCCACAGTTGGTTCAGACTTGCGAGACTTCCCCCTTTGAGAAGATCTGTCAATGGCTGAAGTGGTCTATAGCAATCTAGAACCAAGTGGCTGTAATAGTTAACCATGCCAAGAAAACGGCGTAACCTTTGGAATAATTGAAACATCGGAAAGTCTTCGATTGCTTGCGACTTTTCAGGAAGCGGGCTACTACCGTTGTGATCGATTCAGTGACCAAGAAAATCAACAGATGACTGGCCAAAGACGCATTTAACGGCGCTGATCGTGATGCTAAATTGGGCAAGTTGCTGGAAAGTTAAGCGAAGATGAGACAAGTGCTTTTCATGATTCGAGATGGCCACCAATATATCGCCAATGTGTACGAACAGGCAATCAAGATCTCCGAGGACTTGGTCGATAAATCAATGTCATGTCTACGCGGCGTTTCGCAGTCCGAAAGTAGTAGTAGTAGTAGTAGTAATAGTAGTAGTAGTAGTCGTCGTCGTCGTAGTAATAGTAGTAGTAGCAGGTATAGTAAAAAAAGTAATAATAATAGTAGTAATAGTAGTATTATTAGTAGTAAACCGTCTATTAAACAAACATACAATCAACCGAAGACCAAAAAGAATATGGACGAATTTGTAAAGACCAAACGGTGTAGTTATTGCCGTTATAAGTGGGTCATCCGAGGCCCAAACAAGAAAAAATTAGGAAACAATGGATTTACCTTCCAAACCAGTGGATAACTCGTGAAAACGCGACATCGGGTACCTGTCCGGTACAGTAGTGTTGTTCAGGGCACGGCAGTCTCTGCATGCTCACCAGTCCACGCTCGACGTTCTAAAGACCATGTAGAGAAGATATGACCATGAATTGTTGTAAAGTCGGACGATTCTTGGCTGCAACATGTGTTCGAACACAGCCTTGGCGGTGGCGATGTCGGGCAGTAGCCGGGATTCCTTTCGTGATGATATGATGCATAATCTCGTTTTTAGGGTTTGGAAATTCGCTAAACTGCTATTGAAGTACAGGAACCTGGCGGAACAAATCAGTGAATACGTTGTCAGCACGTACTGCCAGTTGAAGACCGATCGACCTGATCGATGTGAGTCTACTTTGGGCAGCAAGAGATGTGGAACTGTCGCAAAGCTTCCTGCAGCTCAATTCCACTATGAAATCAAACTTCGTGAGGAAATCAACACCAATGATAGAACTCTGGACGTCTGCGATTAGGGATACGGATGGAAAGGTTCATCTGAATCCTAGATCGTGTGAGGAGCTTCTGGCCATACGCGAGAATGTTGATATTGTTAGCCGCCTGCAGATTAATGCTAGTGGGAAGAAGGAAGCGTTTTTCTATTCGGCGAGGTAGAACGCTGAATTCGGAACCGATGTTAACCAAGAAGGAGAAATTGATTGATGAGTCGCGGATGTATAGGAGGCGACTAGGAGTTTGCACAGACATAGGCGTCATCATTAGCGGCTGGCTCGGGCGTTACCCTGTGGACGTTTGCGGGGTGCTTTGGGACGAGTGCATGCGGGTCGACACTTTATGGAAGTAGCACAAAATCGACGATTGTAACTGGAGAAATGGCGTGATGAATTTCCTGACACATAACGACTGCTTCGTGAAAGTAATCTCCGGCTTCGCTGTCTACTCGAGATTGCGAGCTCGAGTTTCGACAAGCGGTGCCACAATCACTTAATAGGTCGTTTCCGAGAATGTTCATTGAAGGCGAGTCTACCGTATGAACAGCGGGTTGTTTGAATAAACACTCGTTGACTTTATCGGCAGTCTCTATCAGCTTGTCTAAAGAGACATCGTCAGGCAAAACAGCATGAATAGCAATAGTGGTTGATGGGAGATACTTGTTTCATAGTTGACGCAAGATGTCGTCAAGTTTTACGGATCCGACAAGTGAACACATGTATCGAAGAAGTCGCAATGGCGTGGGATCGCCAAGTTCCACACCAGACAGTCGTTCTTGAGATCTGGCTTCGTCGGAAGCTGCAGTGCGCTTCAATATTGGGGATTTAAATGTAGCATAATGTGCGTCGTGTGGGATGTCGGCAAGCAAATCAGTGACTTCGGCAGCGGTATGCGTAGAAAGATTCGAGGCAAAGTATGAAAGCATGGTCAACTGTGAAGTAATGCGGTAGCAATGAAAAACTGCTGCTAACTTTAAAAACCAAACATGGTGGTTGGAAGTGTCCAATGGAGCAACTGAATCATTTACAAGATTCTAGGAAAAACAAAAATTCGGACAGAGGAAATTTTGGGTTAGTAAACGTAAAAAGTGAATTTTGAGAATTCAATAAATAGTTAAGAGTCAAAAACAAATTAAAAATTTGGGTCACCAGTTGCGTAGTGGTAAGTGCTACGCAAAAAGGCTAATGAAAAGCTCAGACAGTTATGAAGAGTCAGGTTCAAGTTCAAATGGGCAGGGACAATAGGAGGATCCCATGGATATACCATAGTGGAAGCATCGCTGATCCGCGGTGAGTTTTAGGGAATCAATTGGTTTTCTGAGGGTGTACAATCAGTACGCGCGTTATCCCGCGGTCAACCAATCAACGCCCACATGCCTTGCACTAGTAGTCTCCACCGTGCCGGTCACGTGAAGTGGAAAAGAAACAAAGTGAAAGAAAACGAAACTGAAATAAACAACAGATAACGCAAAATAAACACGGTAAATCAAGACAAGAAAACAGAAGTAGAGAATAGTATTTCAGGCGATGTGAAGGGGAAGAGCTGTAGTTGCAAACCGAGAGCGTCAAGATGGGGTCCAAACATTTTACTT